TTTCATAAGCACTTCACCTGTCAAGCCACGGGCAGCTGCTTATCCTCACAGACCTTCCTATCTCAGGATGGCCAGCAGCTAATTCTGCAGGCTGGTGTATCCTTGATGTGCAAGGCAAATACCATTTCCTGGTATCAAAGGTACAAATCAGTCATTTGAATTGTCTTCTGCATCATTGAAAAAAAACCTGCAGCTGTCACAAGATACAGAACAGCATTTTTATTTGCTGGCAGTCAACATTGCTCGTTCATTTGCAACTTTAACTTACTTCATTTAGGAGAAAGAGATTTTAAGGAAGCAGCAACCCCCTCTCCCACCCCCAGCCAAACCTCTAGGTAATTAAGATTTTTAAAATAAAGAAGGATCTTTCAGCTGTGGCTTCAGTCTTCTTCAATAACCATTGCAACTCCTTTCTGACCTCCCTTCTTGCACGTGCTCCTCCTTCCACTCCCAAACTGAAATCATTGCAACAATTCAGCAAATTGTTGTTGCAGAGAGAGTATTTTCAAGCAAGTAGGGTGGCCACCATGGACAATTTTAAACGTTCAGACTTGGGGGTGTCAACGCTCACAATAAAATGCTAGCAGTGAGACTTTGAAACAGTTGGGAAGGCAATTATCATTAATATGCCTATTGCTGCCCAGGACTGGCACTGGACACCCCTTGTTTTGGCTGGGGAACCGGAGAGCCATTAGACAACAGTACTTCTCAGTCACTGCCTGTCTTGGTAGGTAGCAATTTTCATAATGATGACCCACAGGGACACATTTTGACACCGGTTAATATCCACAGTCCTAACTGATACGGGAGAAGTCACACCTCAACTGGCTGTTATGTGGGAGCTAGGGATTTTGTGCTCATCCAACAGCTGAATTCAACTTCCTACAAAGCCGGCCATGATGCAGTGGGACGGAATGGGAGGGACTTATCGCTTGGCAGAGCTAGCCAGGAAGGCTTCTAAGGGATCCCAGATGGTGCTCTTTAACAAACGAGCCCCAGAAAGCCTCAGCAGAGGAAATCCTGCAGGAATGAGCCAGTTCAGCAATGGGATGACTTAACTAGTCAGAACAGTTCTGGGGCTCCCAGAGAAAGCACGTGGTCAAACAGGCAGTCCCAGCCAAAGCAGCTTGAGATGCTTCCACCTTTTGGAAGCGTGCGAATTCTCAGCTGCATTTACTTCTCAGTGTCAGCCACCAGTTTTACAAAAGCCTTGGTTTTATTGGTCTTTGCGTGTAATGGCCTCAGGTTGTGTCAGGGGAGGTTTACACTGGATATTAGGAAAAATTTCTTTACCGAAAGAGTGGTCAGGCATTGGAACAGGCTGCACAGGGAAGTGGTGGAGTCACCATTCCTGGAGGTGTTCAGAAAATGTGTAGATATGGAACTTCAGGACATGGCTTTGTAGCCGTGGTGGTGATGGGGTGACGGTTGGACTTGATGGTCTTAGAGGTCTTTTCCAACCTTAATGATTCTGTGGTTCTATGATTCTAATGCATACAAGATATAAGCTTGGATTAACACTGGAGATGTCATATTTTTGGTATTATGTTTAGCCAGCTGTTTTTCACTCCCATGAACGACTGAAAGCAACAAGCCATATGGCCTCAGAGGAGCTGAGAAGATGGGTCCCATTATCTGCGTGAGCAGCTGTTTTCACAGAGTTCAGTGAGGGAATTTAGAAACCTTCCCATGGCCTGACCCAGTGCTCTCAGGGGTCTGCAGAGCACAGCACAATATTTGAATTTGCCATGATTTATTTCGTATAAAGAAGCATTCTTCTTCCCTTATGAATAAAGGAGGAGTTTGAGGGCTTTGCCCCCCCAGTTAAATGAACCTGGGAAGTAACATCATAAAAAACCATCACGAAGCACTCAAGCAACTTGTAAATACTGGGGGTTTTATTTCCACGTCACATGGTCTTCAGTAGACTCTTAAACAAGACCAGTTACAATTTAGTATGCCCAGAGATCTCCGTGGTTTTCCCAAAACGAAGGAGGTTCTCAGTAAACGCTGTACATAGCCAGTTGAACTGCTAACAATAATTTAAAAACTCCTTTTGTATAGTCAATGCAAGAATACCAACAATAAAAGTACAGTACAGGTAAATTCACAACAATATTACAGTGAAACAGATTGACTCACATTTATGTGATGGTACAGTAGCAGTATGTACATGCACTAAAGTGCGAGGACCCAGAGGCATGCAAGTCAAGTATTGTAGGTGTATTTTACAGCTAACTCCGTAAGACTTTCTGAGGCATTCTTTTTTTCCATACTTCTTCTTGTGTTTACCTGTGTTCCCCTCCATCTCAATTCATACAAGTCTAGTGAACTAGCTTAATGGCTTTCTTCACTACTTAAAAGGTATCGCTTCAGACAGTTGAAGCATCTTTAAGAACCTTACTTTAAAAAACTGATAACACTGACATTAAAATAGAATAAAATTAACTTAAGACCCTAGTTTTACATGAAATAAAAAAAACAAACGAAAAACCCAAACCCAAAATTGAAACCATAACAGTGCAAATATAACCAAAAGGCAGTCAGTATTTGGAGAGAGCGCGAGCACGTATTCAAATTCCCTTAAAACTTAATTTACATGTTATTTTAAATCTTACTTTATGTCGTTTTTACGCTTTTTTTTTTTTTTCTTTTTTTTGTTAATATACTGTACTTTTTTTTTTTTTTTGCTTTTTTTTGTTAATATACTGTATGTAGAAAAGATGGAGACAAAAATAGTTTTCTCAGCTATGAAAAAAATTAAGTTATTACAGGCACATTAACTGTTTCATTCTAGAACCACCTCAGTTTCCCAGGTCGGACATTCAGCAGCTGCGTCTGAGAACATTCTTTGACCTCTCCGAGCAGACCTCCCTCCTTGGCGGCAGACGGCTGGCGGGGGACCTGGCGGAGGCGAGTCGCAGCCCCCCGGTTCC